CAAAATGACAAGACAAGAATAGAGAAAAAAGGATAAAAAGGAATGAGCAAAATCTCCAAGCAATATGGGACTATGTGAAAAGACCTAATATACGCTTGATTGGTGTACCTGAATGTGACGGAGAGAATGAATTCAAGCTGGAAAATACTCTCCAGGACATTATCCAGGAAAATTTTCCTAATTTAGCAAAGCAGGACACTATTCAACCCCAGGCAATACAGAGAACACCACAAAGATATTCCTCAAGAAGACCAACCCCAAGGCACATAATTGTTAGATTCACCAAGATTGAAACGAAGGAGAAAATATTAAGGGCAGCCAGAGAGAAAGATCAAGTTACCCATAAAGGTAAGCCTATTAGGCTTACAGCAGATCTCTCAACAGAAACTCTACAAGCTAGAAGAGAGTGGGGGCCAATATTCAATATACTTAATCAACAGAACTTTCAGCCCAGAATTTCATATCCTGCCAATTTAAGCTTTACATTTGAAGGAAAAATAAAATCTTTTAGGAACAAGCAAGTACTCAGAGATTTTATTACCACCAGGCCTGCTTTACAAGAACTTCTAAAAGAAGCATTATACACAGAAAGAAACAACCAGTATGACCCTTTCTAAAAATACACCAAAAAATAAAGAGCATTAGCATAAAGAAGAATTTTTATCAACAAAAGGACAAAATAGCCAGTTAATATCAAACAGCAGCAACCCTAAATTTAAATTGACCAAATCTCCCAATCAAAAGATACAGACAAAATCTAACGGTATATCCAAAGATGTACATAGACTCAAAATAAAGGATTGGAAAAAAAAAAACATACCAACCAAATGGAGAGCAAAAATAAATAAATAAAAAGCAGGAGTTGCAATTTTCACATTTGACAAAATAGATTTCAAAGCTACAAGGATACAAGGGTAAAAGGATTAATGTAATAATAAGAGATCTTAACACCCAGATACATAAGACCCATAATGAGATTTAGATTCAACGAGACAGAAAATTGATAACGATATCCGGGACTGGAACTAAGATCCAGAACAAATAAACTCAACAGAGCTCTCCATTTTAAACACACAAAATATACATTATCCACAAAATCTAACGATATATCTAAAGATATACAAAGACTCAAAACAAGGGGATGGAAAAAAACTCACCAACCAAATGGAGAGCAAAAATAAATAAATAAAAAGCAGGAGTTGCAATTCTCACATTTAATAAAATAGATTTCAAAGCTACAAGGATGCAAGGGTAAAAGGATTAATGTAACAATAGGAGATCTTAACACCCAGATACATAAGACACATAATGAGATTTAGATTCAACGAGACAACAAATTGATAACGATATCCAGGACTTGAATTCAGAGCCAGAACAAATAAACACAATAGAGGTCTCCATTTCAAACACATAAAATATGCATTAACCACTTTAAACACTCAAAATATTGATCGGCCATTATTGAAACCCATTTTAGGAATAAAGTAATATTCCTTTTTCCCTCTTTTTCTTTTTTTCCCCTTCTTTTTCTCTAAAAAAAAAAAAAAGAAAGAAAGAAAGGATATAGCATGGTTGATTCCCAGCATTCAGTGGTCCTGGAAGCAGCCTAACAGGCTAGCTCTCATTCCCATTGGGTCAATGACGGATGACAAAGAACAATTTTTAAGCTATATGGGAAACATTGTTATTGGTGTTGCCCTATCAGGATTTCAGTTGAATTCATGTTAAAAGTAATAGCCATTCTTTATTGTACCCTTACTGTGTTAAGCCTATTATACCATATTACCTCATTTTAATTTTTACTGACCTGCACTTTATATGTGAAACAACAAGGCTCCAGGACATCAAAACTCATGCAAAGTTATGCTCATGTTATGTTATTTTCTTACTTAAGGATTTATCGGTGGCTGGTCACTGTGGCTCACGCCTATAATCCCATCGCTTTGGGAGGCCGAGGTGGGTGGATCAACTGAGGTCAGGAGTTTGAGACCACCCTGGCCAACATGGTGAAACCCTGTCTCTACTAAAAATACAAAAATTAGCTGGGTATGGTGGCACATGCCTATAATCCCAGCTCCTTAGGAGGCTGAGGCAGGAGAATCGCTTGAACCCGGGAGGCAGAGGTTGCAGTGAGCTGAGATCTCACCACTATACTCCAGCCTGAGCAACAGAGCAAGACTCGTCTCAAAAAAAAAGGAAGGATTTATTAGTGACAAGTTTATATTAATATGTAGCAAAGGCTTTTCAATGGATGAATAAAAACACATTCCATTATAGTAAAATAAAAAAAGTCAAGCTGGGAGCAGTGGTATATACCTATAGTCCCAGCTACTCAGGAGGCTGAGACAGGAGGATTGCTTGAAGCCAGGAATTGGAGATCAGCGTGGGCAACATAGCAAGATCCTATTTTTTTTTTAAAAAAGAAAAACTTTTAATAAGTAAAATATTTTCTTTCTTCTGAAATAGCAAGATCCTATCTCTTTTTTAAAAAAGAAAAACTCTTAATAAGTAAAATATTTAAAATAAGTAAAATGTTTTCTTTCTTCTGAAATAAAATTATTTATTGAGTCTGATAAAAATGTTTAAGTGCAGTAGGCCAGTGCCAGTGAGAAAATAAATAAAATCATACCTGTGTGTGTGTGTGTGTGTGTGTGTGTTTGCATCTTGCTTCTGAGGAAAGAGACCCAAGCATCTAGGATCCCCTCCCCCTTGACTTCCACACTGTATTTCAAGAGAAGAAAAGGCTGGCCAACCTGCACCTCCTTAATCACCTTCCTATAGATAGCAGGCATAGTATGGGGGAATCTCTCCGGAAGGCATTCTTTTTACTTAAACAAGATCAAACCCTGACCCCATGCCTACTCCATGGACCAAGACCCTTTCACATGTAATTTCTTTTTTTTTTTGAGACCGAGTTTCACTGTTGTTACCCAGACTGGAGTGCAATAGCACGATCTTGGCTCACCGCAACCTCTGCCTCCTGGGTTCAAGCAATTCTCCTGCCTCAGCCTCCCCAGTAGCTGGGACTACAGGCGCACACCACCATGCCCAGCTAATTTTTGTATTTTTAGTAGAGACAGGGTTTCACCTTGTTGACCAGGATGGTCTCAATCTCTTGACCTCGTGATCCACCCTCCTCGGCCTCCCAAAGTGCTGGGATTATAGGCGTGAGCCACCACACCTGGTCATCACATGTACTTTCTAAAACTGTAAATCCAAGACCCTTTCCGGTGTAATTTTTAAGGCTGTAAACCCAAGACCCTTTCACATGTAATATCTAGAGTTGTAAGCCTATATAAAGGCAGAGCTTCTCTTTGTTAGATGAGCTTGGCTGTTAGACAACTATGTCGCCTTGCTCCCAGCCGAATAAATCACCTGTTCCTTCCTAAAATAAATAAATAAATAAATAAAACCTAAACAAAACTCCCGTATGACCCTGCAATTCCACTCCTAGGTATATACCCAAGAGTGTTGAAAACAAGTGTCCAGACATGTACATGTATGTTCATAGCAGCACTATTCACAAAGTTTTATGAATCCAGATATTCATCATTGGATGAAGGGATAAATAAAACGTGGTATGAATCCATATAACAGAATACAGTATCTCCCCCTTATCAGAGGATACATTCCCAGACCCCCAGTGGATGCCTGAAACCACCGATAGTACCAAATATGTTTATGCAGTCAGGTGCCACATAAGGGTGTTCTGGTCAACTGTGGACCATGTTTCTCAGAATGTGTCCCTGTCACTAAGCAGTGAGTGACTGTACTGTTCTCTCCTATGCGTATGTACCTACAATCAAGTTTAATTTATAAATCAGACACTGTAAGAGATTAACAACAACTAATACTAAAATAGAACAGTTACAACAATATGACGACATCACTATTCTGGCACTTTGGTGCCACTGTTAAGTAATATAAGAATTTTGTTAACACAAGCAGTACAGTACGTGACAGTCTAGCTGATGAGCCAGATGGCTGCTCAGTGTCTCATGGCAAGGAGTGCATGCAGCATGGATATGCTGGACAGAGGGAGGACTCATGTGGGCAGGAGAAAGCAGAATGGTGTGAGGCTCCTCAGAACAGTGGGTAATTCATCAGCTTCCTCAGAACAGTGGGAAATTTAAAACTTACAAATTGCGGCCAGGAGTGGTGGCTTATGACTGTAATCCCAGCACTTTGGGAGGCTGAAGCAGGTGGATCACTTGAGGCCAAGAGTTCAAGACCAGCCTGGCCAACTTGGCAAAACCCTGTCTCTACTGAAATACAAAAACTAGCTGGGAGTGGTGGCACACACCTGTAATCCCAGCTACTCCAGAGGCTGAGGCAGGAGAATCGATTGAATCCAAGAGGCGGAGGTTGCAGTGAGCTGAGATTACACCACTGCACTCCAGCCTGGGCAAGAGAGCAAGACTCCATCTCAAAATAAATAAATACAACTTACGAATTGTTTATTTCTGGAATTGTTTACTTCTGAAACATCTGTAATATTTTGAGATCATTGTTCACTGTGGATAACTGAAACTGTAGAAAGCAAAACCATGAATAAGGGAGAGCGACTGCGTTATTCAGGTAGTAGGAAGGAATGGAGTAGTGAGGTGCGCTACAGCACGAATGAGTCCTCAAAGCCTGCTAAGTGAAAGAAGCCAGTTGCAAAGACCGCATATTGTGTGATTCCATTTATATGAATGGATATAAGACAGATTATTAGAAAAGATGAATATGAGAAAATGGGTGACTGCTAATGGATAAAAGGTTTCTTTAGGGGGTGATAAAAGGAAAGGGTTCTAAAATTAGATTTGACAATAGTTATAAAAGTCTAAATATATTTTATTTTATTTTATTTATTTTTTCAGAGAGCATCTTTATCGTGAGGAAGGGCCTAGCCCCCAAAGTCCTGACACCAAAGACAGACAGAAGATGGGTAGCTGCGGCCAGTGAGTTGTGTGGACGATGGGGCCCAGGAGCCATCGTCTCAGACTCTGCCCCTCCTTGCAGGGTCTGGTGCCATGGGCTCAGGCATGCAGGAAGTGGTTGAAAGTGTTGTAGGGCAACTCCAGATCAAACAGCATCTGACGCACCTGCGAGTCATCCAGCTTGTCCGATGCTGACATGCCGCTCAGGGTCTGCAGCCACTGGCTGACCATCTGGCGGGTGGCAGGTGGCTCATGTAGTGCATGGTCTCCATCAGCTCCCGCAAGTCAGGCTGGATCTCATCCATGGTGCGGATCTCCAGGCACAGCTAGTCCATGACGGTGATGACGGTGATGAAGAGCGAGACCACGTTGGCAATGCAGCGATTGAGATTGCCCTTGTCGTCCTTGATGGTGATGGGCTGATCCTCCTTGATCCGCTCCATGACAAGCGGGCAGTCCAGTTGGAATTTGTGGCAGAACTCATCAGTAGAGCTGATTTCTGAGCCCTGAACCTGCCTGAAGGCAGCTTTGTACTGGACCAGGAGCCGGGAGCAGGCTGCAGTGTACTTGCTAGGGGAGACGCAGTCCTTAATGTAGGCTTTCTCCAGGACCTGCATAGTTTTCACCACCGCAGACAGCTCTGCCATGTTGTCGTACTTCTCCCGCTCCCAGGCATTCTTGTATAACTTCACTTCCTCATACAGCTCTGGCTTGTTCCCAGGGGCTCCTATGCCCGGAATGGTTGGCATCCCATGAAAAATCCTCTAGGCTCTGGAGGGGCGACAGCACTGAAACTGGACGGCTTGTGGTCCGGGAGATGGCCAAAACTCTAAATATATTTTAAAATATTGAATTGTATTCTTCTCTTCCCTTCTCTTCTCCTTTTTTGAGACAGAGTTTTGCTCTTGTTGCCCAGACTGGAGTGCAATGGCTCCATCTTAGCTCATTGCAACCTCTGCTCCCAGGTTCAAGCGATTCTCCCTGTATTTTTGTAGAGATGGGGTTTTGTCATGTTGACCAGGCTGCTCTGGAATTGCTGACCTCAATTGATCCGCCTGCCTTGGCCTCCCAAAGTGCTGGGATTACAGGTGTGAGCCACTGTGCCTGGCCAACGCTCTCCATTTACTAAATGTGGAAAGAAACTCCATTGCACAACGATGTGAAGGTCATTAATGCTGTCAAACGGCGTGTTTTCAGATGGGTAAAATGGCTCATTTTATGTTATATATATTTATCACAATAAAAGAAAGTTATTTCCATCCAGGCACGGTGGCTCACACCTGTAATCCCAGCACTTTGGGAGGCTGAGGCGGGCAGATCACTTGAGGTCAGGAGTTCGAGACCAGGCTGGCCAACATGGTGAAACCCCATCTCTACAAAAAATATATATATTAAAAAAAGAAGAAGAAGGAGGAGGGAGGGAGGGGGAGAGAGAGAGAAAGACAGAGACAGAGAGAAAGACAGACACCATTCAACTGGGATACCAGGAAGGTAAATACAGAAAGTCCTCTTAGGAGTAACAAGTATCTCAGAAGAAAGGAGACGAGTACTAACTGTTACTTCCCAGTTCTAAATCATCCTAATTCTTTCTCCTATCTTCCTTACTCTTTTTAAAAGTAGCTTGCTTTCTTTTTCTTTCTTTCTTTCTCTTTCTCTCTCTCTCTCTCTCTCTCTTTCTCTCCTTCTCTCTTTCTTTTTCTTCTTTTTGAGATGGAGCCTTGCTCTGTTTCCCAGGCTGGAGTGCACTGTCGCGATCTTGGCTCACTGCAACCTCCATCTCCTAGGTTCAAGCAATTCTCTGCCTCAGCCTCCCGAGTAGCTGGGATTACAGGCAACTGTCACCACACCTGGCTAATCTTTGTATTTTTAGTAGAGACAGGGTTTCACCATCTTGGTCAGACTGGTCTTGAACTCCTGACCTCATGATCCACCACCTCGGCCTCCCAAAGTGCTGTGATTACAGGTGTGAGCCACCGTGCCTGGCCTCTTTCTTTCTGCTTTTTTTTTTTTTCCTCTCTCTTCTCCACCTCCCTCCTTTTTTTTTTTTTTTTTTTTTTTTTTTTTTTTTTTAACACTCTTGTTGCTCAGGTACAGTGGTGCAATCTCAGCTCACTGCAATATCTGCCTCCTGGGTTCAAGCAATTCTCCTGCCTCAGCCTCCCAAGTAGCTGGGATTACAGGTGTGCATCACCATGCCCAGCTAAATTTTGTATTTTTTGTAGAGGCAGGGTTTCACCATATTGGCCAGGCTGGTCTTGAACTCCTTACCTCAGGTGATCTGCCTGCCTCAGCCTCCCAAAGTGCTGGGATTACAGGTGTGAGCCCCGTGCCTGGATGGAAGTAACTTTCTTTTATTGTGATAAAATATATGTAACATAAAATGAGCCATTTTACCCGTTTGACAGCATTAATGACCTTCACGTTGTTGTGCAACCATCACCACTAACTGACGAAACTTCCTCATCACTCCAAACAGAAACTGCAATCGTTAAACAGTAACGCCCCCTTTCCTCCACCCCGTGCCCCTGGTAACCTCCAATCTATCTCTGAGAATTTACACATTCTAGATATTTCACATTTCAAATATTCATAACAACATTTGTCCTTTTGTGTCTGGCTTAATTCACTTAGCATAACGTTTCCAAGGCTTACCCATATGGTAGCATATGTCAGAACTTCTGATACATGAATAATATTCCACTGTGCGTATGTATCACATTTTATTTATCTATTCATGAGTTGACCGACACTTGAGTGGTTTCCACCTTTTGGCTATTGTGAATAATATCACTGTGAACAGTGGTGTTTAAGCGTCTATTTGAGTACCTGTTTTCAGATCTTTTGGTATATACCCAGGAGTGGAATTGCTGGATCATATGGTGATTGTATGTTTAGTTTTTGTTGTTGTCATTTTTGAGACAGAGTCTCACTCTGTTGCCCAGGCTGGAGTGCAGTGGAGGAATCTCAGTTCACTGCAGTCTCCACCTATGGGGTTCAAGTGATTCTCATGCCTCAGCCTCCCCAATAGCTGAGATTACAGACCTATGCCACAACGCCCAGCTACACTTTGCATTTGTAGTAGAGACAGGGTTTCACCATGTTGGCCAAGCTGGTTTGGAACTCCTGACCTCAAGTGATCCGCCTGCCTCCGCCTCCCGAAGTGCTAGTATTACAGATGTGAGCCACTGCATCCGGCCTATATGTTTAGTTTTTTAAAGAAACATCTTGCTTTTTCTTTTGAAGTCACTGGAAAAACTAACTGTTTCACTTTATGTTGTACATAGGGGCTCAATCCTTTCTGTAGAATAGAACAGGACCCTCTGAGTTCACTGCCATGATTAGGTACAATTTCCATATAGTAGGTATCTCACCTAATTCTCAAAACTCTGAAAGGTACTGTTTTCTCTAATGCAGAAAAGAGAAAACTTGGGGCCCAGAGGTTCAAGACCTAAATTCCTGAATCTCCGCAGCCCACCCTCTTTTGCAGTCCAAGCTGGTATTACTTTTCTTTCTTTTTCTATTTTTCTTTCTTTCTCTCTCTCTTTCTTCCTTTTTTCTTTATTTCACTCTTTCTCTCTCTTTATCTTTCTTTCATCTGTTTTCCTTTTTCTCTCTTTCTTCCTTTTTTCTTTCTTTCACTCTTTCTCTCTCTCTTTCATTTATTTTCTTCCTTTCTCTCTTTCTTTTTCTCTTTGTTTCTTTCTTGCCCAGACTGATCTCAAACTCTGGGCTCAAACAACCCTCCTGCCTCAGCCTCCCCAGTAGCTGGGATTACAAACTCTGTCCACCCCCTCCCCCAATAATAGAATTAAAATGCAAAGTTGTACCTGATCAGAAGAAAAACAGTCACAGGTGGGTCATTGACTTGAGTGTGAGAATCATATCACCTTGCAAAAACATTGGCTGCATCATTTTGGGAGGTGTCAGAAGAATAATTAAGATATTTTTATAAATGAAAACACTGCAATTTGCCATAAGTGGGACTGTGCATAAACCGAGAACAGAACCAAACCAGCTCATTTCCTCTGTCCCTCTGTCTCAGATTCTTGGGGAAGGAGAATTATAATTAACACAGAGATGACACTTAATCAGAACACAATCTCCTGTTACCTCCCAATGAAACCCTCACTGACCTCTCCAGGGTGATGGGGAGGAGCTGGCTGCTGGCTTGAGTGTGATGTGTTTTGTGCATTTTAGCAGGAAAGGTGAAGCAAGATGGGGGATTCAGACCCACCATCTTGAGCTGCCTATAGTAGCCCCAGGCTCCTCACTTATTAGCAAGTTGAACCCATACCTTCCTTCACACCCATATGGGCAGCAGCTGAGCTGAGAATTCCACTGCCCACCCCCTCTTTTCCAGCATTTGCTCCTGCTTCCCCCAACCTCACATGAGTTTGCCTACAAAATTTGTAGGGCATACAGTTAAACTCCTGCAGGGGTGGGGGAAGAAGGAGCTACCACTATCTGGCAAAGCAGGCTTCAAAGCCTGGTTTAAGAGGAAATCTGGCCAAAGATCTTTCTTCCCATTCCACTGAAGATGCCATTCCTGAGCCTTTCCATTTCATCAACCTGGTTTATCATAAACACAGCTCTTTCCACTCCCTGAAATCACATTTGATTTCAATCAATGTCAGATGTACCCATTTCCTCTGTCCCTTCACACCTAGAATTAGGGACTTTGTCTCATTTACTGCAGTATTACTGAGGTATGGAATCATGCCTGACACAGAAGTTTTGAAAACATGTGGATGAAATAATGGATGTCTATTTTCTTTTCTTTTCTTTTCTTTTCTTTTTCTTTTTTTTTTGAGACGGAGTTTCGCTCTTGTTACCCAGGCTGGAGTGCAATGGCGCGATCTTGGCTCACCGAAACCTCTGCCTCCTGGGTTCAGGCAATTCTCCTGCCTCAGCCTCCTGAGTAGCTGGGATTACAGGCACACGTCACCATGCCCAGCTAATTTTTGTAGCTTTAGTAGAGACGGGGTTTCACCATGTTGACCAGGATGGTGTCGATCTCTTGACCTCGTGATCCACCCGCCTCGGCCTCCCAAAGTGCTGGGATTACAGGCGTGAGCCACCGCACCCGGCCCTGGATACCTATTTTCTTATTTTCATTTTGATTTCCTCACTCAAAGTCCTTTCCATTGTTCGAAGTCTTCAATAAAGTTTGATTTCATACCATGTCTTGTTCTGATCCATATTTGCCCATATGCAGGCAAAATGGTATGGGGAGAGTAGTGGCAGCATTGTGAAATGGCCTCGGGGAGTGGGTGGGGAGAGCAGTTTCATGGGGTCCGGGTGGCTGCTACTGGGGTTTTAAAGAAAAAGCTGATCTTCCTTGCACTGGAGGAATTACTAGTGTAGAAGGCAGATGGACGTCTAAACAGACAATCACGGAGTCTGTGGAAAGTGTCAGGACACTAGAAACACAAGGGGAAATGCAGCCTCCTGTGGTGGACCAGGGGATGAGGAATGCTTCAAGAGGAGGTGACATCTGCACTGAGTCTTGAAATAGGAGCCAGCCAGGCTCTAGACGGGAGAGGGGAGGTGTTCAAGAAAGAACGTGAGGTCAAGAATGCAAACGAAACCATGAACTAAGCAACAGTTGCCAACTGACCTCCTGGAATTGACTCTAACAATCCACCAGTAAGTGGGTTAAAATGTTCTCTGCCTCCCCTGGTTAGACTGAGCTCCTTGAAATTTGGAACTGTCAGCCAGGCACAGTTGCGGACGCCTGTAATCCCAGCACTTTGGGAGGTTGAGGCAGGAGGATCATTTGAGGTCAGGAGTTGGAGAACAGGCTGAC